GCCGGCCGGAATAAAAAAGGTCCGAAGTTAGGTGAGAAAAAGTTGAAAGGCTTGCTTCCTCCCCCCCCGCGCCGCCCCTTGCCATCACTCCCCTTTTTTTTCCTTCTCTTTCCTCATTTTGTTTCTATAGGTAGGCACTCTGCGCAAGGTAGCCGCGCCGCAAGTGTTTTAAACCACAGACAATGCAAAAATGAAGGGAGATGTCATGCAAAAGTTCAGGACCGAATGCTTGAGGTTCTTTCCTATTTTGGCATGAAAGCAAGCATTGGAGCTATAATAACTGCAGAAGTTTATGAAGTTTAATTCTAGCAGTACTGGTGGCCTTAGATTTATATGCTCTAACAGGGGTGTGCTGAGGGTGACCGATTTGCTTGTACTTTTAATGCTTATCCTGATGAAAAACCAGGCTTTCTCTGGTATCCCTGAGAAGCGAGGTGAATTCACTACTAATTTTGTAACTTCTGCATCATAGTCTAATGACTACAATTGGATTTCTTAACATTGTCCTGCTCTCCTGTCTTCCGTATTATGCTCAAGAAGCTTTTTTGGACTGCCAGGACTTCAGAGTTCGTTAGTACAGAGGATATTTGAAGTTTATTTTAATTTACCTTCATTTTACTACCCAATTTTCCTCTTGAAGTGATGATGTCAAAAAATTAAACTTCAAAATTAAAAGGTTATACAGATATATCTTACTAGGAACCCAAGAAATTTAATAAATGCAACTTACAACTCCGTGTTTTGAATTGGTAATTCTGGAGTAACAAACTAAAAATGTTTATCAGTGTAGACTATTAACACCAAAAATTAACACCAGAGAAGGAGTTAGGGGAGGCAGTTCCATTCAGTTTTGGCTGCTGCCTTTTTAAAATCCATTCTCTTTATCTGAACAAAGGTGTTGTCATTACTTGATTTCTAAAGCCCACTGATGAGATTTTATCCGCTATCTCATTAGAAAAGAGAATGGCTAAGTGGATGTCCCAGTAAGTCTATTTCCAGTGGGTGAACTTCTTAATCTTTCACTGTCATTTAGAGCAGTGCTACTTCAGCTTAACAGGACAGTAAATGTCATTTGAATTTATAGAAGCACAAGTGTGCAGTCTTCGCAGTGAAGTTCCCTGGCTGATACAGAATACGATGGCCTGTGCAAATACACAGAATTCATGATCTAAATATTTTTCCTTTCTTTACTTACCACAGTAGCTAAGACACCTTCTTTGAAGTTCTCCTCCAACAAAATGCTGAGCTTCTGCTTAAGTAAAAATATCTATTTTAGTACTTTGATGTGTGGGATGCGTTCAGGCATGTGCTAAACATGCACTGCTCAGATCTTCTGCTCAATAATACAGTGACACAAAAGAGCTGAGAAGCTAGGACCTGCCTGGGCACTTTCTCAGTCAACGTGGGTTTGGGTGCACTCTCTTTTACCACTGTTGATGCTTCAAGGTGCAGCTTAGCCTTGGAACTTAAAACAGACACTTGACTGTAATGAGTTGTGCTAACTACTGAAACTGTTTGCGCAGTAGATATTTTCACAGTTTACTTGTATTCCTTTTTTCTGGCAGTCCCATGCTCTGTATTAGAGACAGTCCCATGCTCTGTATTTGTACACCACCTTGCTCGGCTGGGATTATCCGTTAGGGCACCTACATACTACTGTTCTTTAGGTGGTACATGTGTACTGCAATTCAAAATTCCTAGTCATCTCCCTGAAGCAGAGCAGACAAAAATAATCAGTTATTCTATCATTACACTAAAAGAGCATCCTGCTGCTAGCCCTCAGCACAGATGAAGAGGTAGTGTTTGGGGCTGCTAACCTCAGTATTTCTTTTCTTAAATATATTTGATAAAACAGCTTAGGAAGGAACAGACACCAAACAAACACAACTTAGAAGTTACTATTACAGAAATCCTTAAGGAACAGTTTATTTTGAAGACATAAAAACACATGTGATGAAAGGGTGCTGCTTTAATGAGCCAGAAAAGAGCAAAGGTCTCCTCTGGTTCTGTTCATCTTCCATGCTCATACAAGTCTCTTCTGTTGCGAGACTTTTTCACCCAGTATCTGCAGAAGAAACTAAAGCAAAGCACATAGATTGTTTTGAGTGCTCAGACAGTAACTGTTGTTACTAGAAATGCAGTTGAATCATTACAAAAAGAGGAAGTCACAAAGGACCCAGGTGCCACCAGAGACAAACTTGCTGCACAGCCGGGCAGGGAAGGGCAGTTCTATAACCCAGATTCCAGATTGCAGGCAAGTCCTACGTAGCCCCCAGAGGGCACGTGCTATTTTTGTCCAGTTGCTTCCACGTGCCATCAGCATCCACTGATGCAAATGCAATTTGAGTGCTGTGGTCTCCTCGGCCAGGGCCATCCTTGTAATCTGCTGTGGAACAGCCACAGTTCAGAGGTGAGGGAGGTTTTTGTGAGCAAGGGGTTCAGCTTTATCAATGATTATTTGCTTGCAGTGGCTGCAGTGGGTGGCAGGACCCGAAAAGTCTTCATAATTTGCAAACCTCCTGGTAGGATTGCACTTTAGTCCAGCGTAAGTCCACACTGTTACAGAAGAGAGTTATCTGACCCCTTGGCTCCCCTGTCCTCACTGCCTGTTTTGTGCAGGCCTTTGCTTTCATGTGGCCATTGAAGTGGGTCAGATTTGGTAACTGATCCAGCTGAAAATGAACACAGAAAATTAAAAAAAATGTTTCTTTTCATCCACACAAATACTTGTGCCAACAGAGGGGAAAAAACAAGAATGGGGGGGCTAAAGGAAAGGCAGACCTTCCCCTTTCAGAGGCAATGTGGATTTATGCTGGATGTAACTAGTTTTAGGTTGTTCAGTCATGGTTGTAACAATGATACCCTCTGCAGGTAGCAGCGAATTTGTGCTTTGGAACTCCTCTTAGGATGTCTGTAATTTATTTTCTATTTCCTTTTTTTTAAAACAAGGTTCTTGGCAAATAGTAAGGCTGAAATTCCTGAGTCACCGATGACTTAACGAGTGATAGAAGCAGAAATACTGTACAGAAGAGAAGTGGGAAGAATCACGGCCCAAGAGTTCACAGGATGCCGAGGACTGAGGTTCCTGTTCTGAAGCAAGCACACAGATCATTGCAGATGGTAACTTACCCCTGGTTTTTGGGAGCCCTTCCTCTCTAGGAATTCTTGAAATGCCCACATCCTGTAGAACAGGGAGACCTCTGCCTCCTAAGAGAATTTCCAAAGCAGATTAACAGAAATGCTCCAAAATGTGTCTTGTATTTTTTTAAAGCTTTCATTGGAACCAAACAAAGTGACAGTACAACGAAGGGACAAGGAGACAGTTTCTCAAAGTCTCAGGGACACAATTCTCTTTCTAATTAATTCAGGATTTTAGTTTGTTCATGCAGTCATTTCTGATGTAGCATTAGTTTGGAAGTTAGTGTTCTGTGAACACTGAGGCTTCATTGCACCTTTGTTGATTCAGTAAATGTGATAGCAGTTGCTGGACTGTATTTTGAAAAGCTACCTGTGACTTTGCAGAATTACCAGCCAGCTGACTGGCCTAAGATCAGGAGCCTCAAACCTGCCACCTTTTCACATTTCAAAACCGAAACAGTAGGGTGGATATTTACTATCACAATTCTAAAAACAACTCTGCAGGCATAGCTGTTATTCAGAAGTCCTGGCCCGCGTGCACTGTCTCAAATGAACTTTCTGAATTTCATTCTGTAAGCTGTGCCATCTAGTGTGGTGACAGGGAATCTCAGCTGCAGCTGAAGAGGGAGTGAGAAATGCCCTGCTGACTCAGAGCCGTGGGGCATCTGTCCCACTCCTCTGGCTCGGGCAGTGGCAGGAGGGGATGCTCTTTAGGGAGCGCTTTAGAGCCTGGCCAGTGCCTGGTCCCCTGGTATCCACAGTTGCCGTATGAAGGATGTTGGAGAGTACTGCTCTTAAACAAGCCTTGTGTGTGTACAGTGCTTCTTCCAGTTTTGCTTTTATAATAGATCAAAATGGAAACATGAACAAGTACAAAAGAAGTACAAATTAGGGAGCCCTGTTATTCCTTGTGGCTGTACTGTCGGGGCCCCTGGAAGGTCCACGGACAACTCATGAATGAGAGTTTGGCAGGGGAGGCTTTATGGAGGTTTGCAGAGAGCTCTTCCTGAGCATGTGTAAAAAACCCAGTCGTGCTTTTATGAAGCTCTGTTGAGGAGGGAAAGGAGAACAGGTCACAGGTGAGGTTGGAAGCAGGTAGCAGCTTTCTCATAATAAGAGCTGTCAGTGTTTGCTCATTACCAGGCCTCACACTGTGGATTCTTGCTGTCACAGAGAGAAAAACCAAGCAGTCATTGTCACCAGTCAGGTGAACAGTAAGAGACATTATGCCTCTAATTCTGGCTGCAAGTGGTGCAGAGGCACATTCCCATAACCTGCATGCCCTCTAGTCATCGACTCCGCTGCGCTCAGTGTCAGTGGCACGCAGTGCTTGCGGTACCTTCTGAATGGGTGGTATAAAATTGTGAACACCATTGCCTGTTTCTTTCAGATCCATTAAAGATTTACCCACATTTTGCTTTTTCCATGTTTTAGGGTCAAGGTACCAGGCACCATATCTATTCTTAACAACTTTGGGATGGCATGATTCCTAAAAACTATAGACTAATGTGTAGTAACTCTCTTTTAGTCATATTTCCTAGAGCAGATACCAAGTACTAGTGTTGCATAAGTGTGCTTTGGTAGTTACCCCTTGCAGTATCCGTAAGGTATATTCAGCACCATTGATTCTTTTAGTGTGAAGAATACTAGACAGAAGACTTATGTCCTCTCTACTATTCTTGTTAAGTCTTCCAACCCAGCCATTTGCTAGTGAGTTTTTTCTTTGCAGCCAAAGGAGTAGACAGTTTAACTGGAAATGGTCAGATTTGCTTGGGAATACACCTCTGTACTAAAAGAGGAGGCACAGTAGAGTGGAGGAAGGCAAGGAGGGAATACAGTGAGAAGGGGGAAGCATAGATGGAGCTGTGGAAGCAAGTACAGAAGTAAGGTGTTTTGTTCATCTCTTCTTCCTGTCCCCAGGGAGAAGATGTGCCCAAAGGCAGAGCTAAAAGGAGATGGGAAAAGGAACACCACCATCTCATAGATATCTTAACCATAGCTCACAAGGCTTAGTATAAAGTACCTTTCCCTAGAAGCCAGGTTAAAATCTAAAATTCAAGACTGCTGCCATGGAGGTTGTCTTGGCAGTTGCTTGACACTTTCTGCGTTGGGTCCCCACCCAACCAGGGAGAAAAACAGGAAGGGCAAAGTATTCATATACATTGGACCTGCATCCCGCTCCGGGAAGAAACCGTAACCCTGACTGTCTCTCTGCCATCCTTTTCCCCCATTACTTGCGAGGGTCTCGGCTGTGACCGCTGCCGCTCTTCTCTGGGCAACATTTCACAGTAGCCAGCGGATGGCACATGAGGAGTATGTCTGACAGTAAAAGCTCTTTGTTTCCAGACAGTGAAGAGATGGTTTCTCTCAGTTGTTATTAGCTTTTGAAGAGCAATGTTTTCCATACCTTCTGTCCAAGATAGCTGACCCAGGAGTTGCTTTCTGCAGTAAGACACCGAAGAATGTAGGGAGAGCAGAGGAGCAGGCAGATTAGAACTGGTGGGAGTGCTGTCCTCAGAACTGGCCTTCAGAGTGATTACTAATGAGGATACCCCAGATCCAGACCTGCTTTGTTTACTTTCTCAGCCGTTTAGATCTGGTAGGCAGCCAGTGAAGAGAGGGGAAAAGCTGTTTCTCATAATGAATCAGCATGTATGTCTGCGTGGCTTACAATCATGGTGAAGGAAAGCCAGGCACCATCAGAGCCCTTCCTTGTGTCCAAAGAATTAAAGGCAATATGCTGAAAGGGACGTCAGGAGTCCAGTTTAGGGCTAGTGTCTGCAGGCTGCTGGTGTCCTGGAGGTCATCCATGAATGTATTTATTTTTAACCTCCTCCCCTCTAACACGCACATGGATGGCAAATATGTTTCTGCCTGTCAGCAGGCACAGGTTCCCAGCTCCCGCCAGTTACAAATTCAAATGTTTATAATTCCAATAGTAAAATCAAAGTATTGTAAGACAGTAAAGCTTAGCTCTATCTTAAGGGCTTTGTTCTTCACAGCCACCAAAATAGTTGTAAAATACAAGAGGGTCCATGAATTTTCTTCAAAAAAGCTTTCTGTCTTAACAATCAAGAAGTGCTGGTCTGTTTTACCCTTCTGCCATAAGACGTCAACTTGCTGATCAATAGGTAAGCTGATCTTGAAAGAGGGATAAACCAGAGCCTTCAGCATGATGTATTTCATTATTTAACTGTCCTTTCCATTAGAAAATTGCTGCTGTTTTTTAACCTAAATCTGTCCACTCCCCCTGAGCTCGCTTACCGTGTCCCAAAGAAACATGGGAAGCAAAGTATTTCGTGTTTCCTTTTATCATCCTTGTACTTAATTGGAGCTTCTTATGCATGTCCTCAGTTATCTCTTATCTGTATTAGAAACTCAGTTTGCTCCGTCTTGGCATGTTGGTCATAAGTGTGTAATCATTCCTGTAGCTCCCCCTGTTTTCCTTTGAATTTGTTTACATCCTTCTTGAAGAACAGTAACCAAACCTGGACACAGATGTCACCCCCAGAATCTTATGTTCGTCTTTGTTCTCACAATAGAATGCTTCCTTTTTTTGTACAACTGGGACGTTGCTGACATTTACAATCTACGAAAATCCCTATATCCCTCCCTTACTGAACTCATGCCTAGCCAGTTGTTCTTCATTCGGTATTTGTGCAGCTGAGAAGTTCTGCATGGAAGAAGTCATTCAGCCCTGTTCTTGCACTCCCTTATTTTCCAGGTTTTGTCCAACATGTCAGGATCATTTTTAATCCATTTAAAGCCCTTCAACATCTTTGTAGTGTTTTCTAACTGGATGTCATCTGCAAATTGAATAGATTATTTGGAACTACACTGGTTTTCCATGAATTTTCAAGGAAACAGGTTGTGATTCTGAGTTTGTTCTACTATTTTTCCATACTATAATGCATTTCATCCTCACTTAGCTGATTCAAAACATCTAACAGGTCTAATGCCATTCTTCCCTATTTACCCATTGCAATCTGACTTGGAATTCCTTCTTGGGTTTGAGGTAGAGCTTATCGCTTGCCCAGGCCAGTCTCTTACTGCATTTCCTGTGCTTTCTCTGAACTTGTGTACTGTGCCAGTAATATGAAAGAATGACAGCTTTCCCTAAATCCCTTTTCCCCCTAGATTTGTTTCCCATGAGCCATTATTTGCCAGCTTTTTCAGTTTATTAGTCACTCTCGTCGCAAGTCATGTTTTCTATTTTGTTGCTCTCCATTCTCCTTTTCCCTAGTCGGTACAGTTGCATTTCATATACCACTTCATGATTGGTGCCTGCTGCTTTTTACTGCCTCCCAGGTTAGAATCAAATCCCTTCTAAGGATTTGAAGGAGGAGGGAGAAAACACAAGACAGTGCAAGGCAGGGAAAAAGAGACATTGAACCAGTGAAAATCTCCTCTTGGAGCCCAGTAGGAAGGGATCAGAGTTGCAGATCTATAGATCTGGCTCAATTAAGTATTTCCTTATGCACAGTATTTTAACCTCTCTGTTATTTAGAGATGTAATGAGATATGCCCCAAAAATGCCTTTGTTCTTCAGTGGAAGTTCTGCATGCAGCAGAGCGGCAGGATCAGTGTACCATACAGGAACAGAGTGAAACAATAAGACATTGTTCTGTTCTATTATGTTATTTTGCCAGTGATGGGGAGCAGCAGAGACCCCAAAGCATAAAACATAGTATAATATATTTGGCTAAACTCTGTGAAATGTTAAGTGTCTCAGGCTCATCTTGGGGTTCACTGAAATTGCAGTACCCAATAGCTCTTAGAAATTGAATCATAAATAAAATGTTCCAGCAAATTCATACTGATGATAGACGCTCATGGTTGTCTAACATCCTAGAGACATTATGCTTTGACTTCCATGTAGATTTTTGACATTGTCAGGCCCATAGAAAAATGCCGTGTAAAAGACATCGAAATACTTTCGAACAACATTTAACACAGAAATTTGTCCAAGTCCAAAGTCTGAAGAGCATTGAGAAAACAAATACAAGCTAGAGTTTTGTGATTAAAAAAAAAGGACATCTGTGTTTGTAGCTGACAGCTTTAATCTTCTAAGCTGGAGATAGAAAACACTTGATTCTGAGAAAATATCAGAAATGTGATTTTAGCTCCCATGAAAGAACACTTCTGAGAGGACACTCAGCAGGGAGCTGGTGTAGAGCGTGGTATCATTTTACACTCCTTCGTACAGCATGTTACCCATGTCAGCAAGCTTTACAGGCAAATGGGTTTTTTTCAGCTGGAGCATCCCATGTGTATTCCCTTAGCCTAGCTCTGATGTTTATTTATTGTGAAATGAAGTTTTTTGTCATAGTTGAAGGGGGCTTTAGAGCCACGTCACTGATGTCATCACCAGGCTCAGAGAAATAACAGATTTTACACCATCTTAAATACTCCCTTGAATTCAATGCCAGGCATAACAATCTGCGTTTCTGAGTAAGGATTTCGCTGAGCTTTGTCTGAAGTTTATCTAAATGAAGTATCACATGAGCCAAGGACATGTAGAGGATTAGAACAAAAATAAGTCAGAGAGGTCTCTAAGTGAGCTTGCTTTCTTTTGACGAGCACTTTTCTCACCCCCAGCCTGGCTATATATTCTTTTACACTTCTTCATGTGTCACTGAGTGCAAGGATTTCATTCTTGGGAGGTTAAGATACTCTTAATCTTCAGCAGATGACTTAGGCCAAACCTTTATAGAGTTTCTAAATATGGGTGTTCATGCCCCCTTTGTTTAAATGATGCTTTCCTGAAAGCTACAAGCTATTAGATCTTTGTGTAAATCACATGACTGAATTCAAAATGAAGCTCTCAGTTTCCTGGTGGAGTGTTTTGTCTTCCCAACCCGAACAGGCTTGATTATAGATCTGGTATCACAGAGTTGCATGGGGGTATCTTCATTGATTTTACGTATTTCTCCTCCCTGAAATAAGAAGCCAGGGATATAAGTAAGGCAATGACAGGAATCTTCTATGTGCCTTGAAATACAGTTTTGGTGTAAATCTGCATGCCCAATTCTGAAACTGTCCCTGCAAGTTCCTCTTTCCCAAGTTCAATAGTTGAAAGAGGATGTAATTGGTCTCTTGGTCATGTGTTGCTTTGGTCTGATGACAGGAGAAAGCATAAAGTCCTTTCCCACCCAGTCACGTTAGAGGAAACGGCAAGACATGAGGCAGTAATTCGTGCTTAACAAGCCAGCACTTGATGCAGTGACTCCATCCTGAGACCCAGGTCACATGCTAGAACCAACCAGGGGGTGATGGTTTTTGCTTCCCCAAAGTATTCCCTGCTTTGCCCTGACTGCGGTGTCGAGGGATACAGCCAACGTAGACAAGGTATTGCAGACGGCGCTGGAGGTGTAGCTTAATGGTTCCCATCCTAGGGACCAGCACTGCTTTTGGCCGCAAGATACTAAATATACTCAAAATTGAGGCTGGCAAGCACAACAAAGTGCAACATTGGACTGGGGCTGGTGC